CCTTTCCTTTCTTGAAATACTCATTTCTGCTACTGCTGCTGACTGGACCCAAAGAGAAGAGAAAGCATCAAGGGGGGGGAAACTCCTTTTATTTACTTACTTCTTTTTCTTTGTTTCTGAGAGAAAGCTGTGGTTTTTTAATAGATCCAGAGAAGTCCCCAAATCGACCTTGCCTTCTTCATGTCCTCGTCACATGGCCCTAAGCAAGTCTTTCACCTCCAACTGTAATAGCGGTGTGCTATCTTAATAGGATTGTTATAAGGCTTTTTGAAAGAATCTGCATAAAGCATTTTAGTATTTAAGGAGAAGAATAATATAAAATATTTATTAGCATTTTGGGGGCAGCCCACAATGACACTGCAACATACTGCTGAAAATGGCCTCTTCTCTGTATAGTAAGAAATAACTGTTCCAGATGTAATATATAGGAATATTCATGGTGTGGATTTTGTCAGCAAGTTTTGCATCTTTATACAATGGCTGCTGCCAAAGCCTTCCCAACTTGTTGACACTCATTTTCTTCTATCTGTACTGCAGCTGCTGCGGACAGGGCACAGTACTCTTTACTGGGGTCTTAAAGGCACTGTGTACTGTTACAGCTTATTGATGCAACCTGAAGTGATTCAGGCCTTCACTTTATTCATTATAAACCCTAAATTATTCTCTAAAGTTTTGCTGTACGATGTGCGTAACATTTTACACATTGGTAATATTTTACCCTTTGGCTGGTCTTTTCTCTTTTTGTACAGAAATCCAGTTTACTACTATAATTTTTAATTTTTAATCTGCCTTATTTCCAGTTGAACATCCAGACTGGTAAAATCTCTACTGAAGCTATGAAAGTTACAGGGTGTACTTGGGCCAGTCACCTTCTCTCATCCTGGCCATCCTTACCCATGGTTGTTTCAAAGATAAAATTGAGAAGAGGAAATCTGTGCTTTTTACCCTGAATTCATTATTGGAAAAATGGGAAATAACTAATATATAAATTATTAGTTAATAATAATAGCAATTTAGCTGCCTTGTAACAAAAAGTATTGAAGTCAGATCACACTGTAAAGCAGATTAAAATCAGTGAGATAGAAATACAAAAAGATAGAGTGATAGACTAGGACTCTGGCGATCAGGGTTCAAATTCCCATTCTGCAATGGAAACACAATGGGGGAGTGAACTACTCCTTAAATATCCCACTTACTTTGGTTTCTTGTCAGGCTGGCTAGTGATCTGGCCACTTGTTAGTCATATGACCTGTCTTGCCTTGATCATTAAAACTGCTGGATAGCTCAGTGGTTTAGATATCTGGCTGCAGAGCCAGAGGATGGGAATTTGACTCCCCACTTGTGCCTCCTTGACAGGTGCTGGACGTGATGATCCATAGGATCCTTTCCAGCTCTGCAATTGTAAGATGAAGATGGTGATTATCTTTTCACCTGGCTAATTGAGAGACAATGGGCATTGAATGGGTTGCTTGACTGGACAGGAAGAAGAGATACAGACCATTCTAGGATGCTTGGTTTCCAAGACCTCTAGATCAATGGTCCCCAACCTTGGGCCTCCAGATGTTTTGGACTTCAGCTCCCAGAAATCCTGCCCAGCAGAGGTGGTGGTGAAGTCTTCTGAGAGTTGTAGTCCAAGAACATCTGCAGGCTCAGGGTTGGGGACCACTGCTCTAGATAATTCTTTTAACATAAAAACAAAGAAGGTGATTTAATCTGGCTTCTACAGGAGGGCTATTCTGTGAGTTGACTCTGGCTGGGCTATTCATGTCTTCTGTGGAATTTCGAATGGGGTGGTTTAGAGCTATATTGCTGTTATTTCTTCTTGAGGGCTTAGCTCACTTTGAGAACCTGACAGGTTTTCCAGTCAAAACAGTCTGGGGTGTACACACACATGTTTAGGCAAAAATGGGACTCTTCAGGGGTGTTGTACAAACCTGACCAGTTTGGTAACAGTAGATATTTGGCATTCAAAGAGCAGAACTGCTGCTAAGAAATAATACAAATACATTGTTTAAAGTTTTGTGTGGTTTTTTAAAAATTCTGTTAAGGCTGTCTGCTCCTCATAATGGTCATTATTGTAGTACATCCACTAGAGTGATTTCAGAGGGATAAATCTCAGTAGCAAATTACTGCTAGTTAAGATGTTTGTGATTATATTTCTTGTCACGAACTAGCCGCAGGGCTAGGCATGCAACAAGAAATGCAAATGCCAGCTTCTTAACCAGTGGCAATTTGCTGCTAAAATTTACACCATTGTATTTACATAATTCAGTTGGATTCCTGCCAGCATGTATATATCATTTCAATCATCTTTAGAGCAACAGCCTGTATTTTTCATTCTTAGTAATAATATCTGTAATCCTTGAGTTCCATTCTTGGGAGGAAATTAGTATATAGATTAACTAATAAATTTTTTGATTTCCTTAGAAAATCAAAGACTTATGAAACTAGAGGGACATGATATAAAGATGGGATGGCACGCATATGTATGGTATGGGAGACATAAGGAACACTCACAGTTTGGAGAACATATCATTAGGAAGGCCCAAGCACAACCCTATAAGAAAATCCCATTGTGGGTGGCACCTATAGAAGCATTTACACTAAAAGCCCTGAACCAAAAAGGAATGTTGACCACATAAGAAAATCTGTTAACTAAAGAGCAGGAGATAAAGGACAAACAAGAGCTTTAAAAATGGGTGTACCTGTTGATTGGTGGTCAATGGTAAAATTAGAATCAAGATACAAAAAAGATAAGACTGTGTGTTTCTTTGAGGGCAAAGTTCAGATGGATAGACTGTGGATATATACGGATGAAAGAATAATTAAGAAAATGTACATATACCTATTAGAATATGACTTACAGGATGAGAGGGTGAAAGAGACAACAGTAAAATGGGCAAAAAAAAATTGGATACAACGTAGATCTTGATGATTGGACTAAGATGTGGAAAGAAAGCTATAAGATGATTAAACCAGTAAATCTTAGCGAAAATATCCTCAAAATGTTCTACAGATGGCATTATACACCTGTAAGACTAGCAAAAATGTCAGAGGGTAACAGCAATATATGTTGGAAGTGTATAAAAAAATGCAGGAACTTACTATCATATGTGGTGGACATGCGAAAAAGTCAAAAATTATTGGACACAGGTGTGGGAATTAGTAAAAGAAATTACCCAGCAGAAATTAGATATAAAACCTGAAATGGCATTACTGAATGTCATATCAGGAATTAATGATAAAAAATTGAAGCATTGTCTTATGTATATACTCACAGCAGCTAGATTACTCTGGGCCCAAAAATGGAAAAGCGAAGTGTTGTTAAAGAAGCAATGGGATATAGCAGAACTGGACACTCTATCAGAAGCACTACGGGAACAATCAAGAGACTATGTATAACAAAGCTGGGAACTAATATACTCTTGGGTCCAGACGAAGATAGAAGTGTAGGGCAAAGTTTATGATATATGTGTATCTACTTAGTATACATTGGAAACCAAACCGGGGAGAGTAGAGGGGTTAACAAGGCTGGAGTCTCTTACTCCAAAGGGGGGAGGGTTTAGTTTAGTACAGGGCCTAATTTAGATTTTTTTAATCTTTTTTTTTGTTTATTACTCTCTTCTTTTTCTATTACTGTCTTTTGTACATGTAAATTCTAATTTAAAAATTCTTGATTTCATTTCATCTTGTGAATTAAAACTCACTCACTCAATGATGGTCAGTACAAAGCATCCATTTCCCAATTAACGCTGAACATCCCGATGAAGGTGTAGAAAGAATCATTATCCCCAACAGCCTTGCTTAACTTCTGTCATAAAAGTTAAGAAGGTTTAAAATGCAGGTTGACTTAGAATTCATGTAGAGCAAATGGCTGTCCATGCATAATATCAGTAAAAAGTCTCAGGTTAGAATTACAGAAGAGTATTTCTCTCAGAGGATGGGAACACACTGGTGATGGGAACAAAAAAAAGTGCCTTTTGGGGCCCTAACAGCTGGTGAAAGTGTTGTATCTTAATCATGCTTGAGGTATTTTAAGTTATGTGTTCCTTCCTTCCTCCAGTGTATGTTCCCCCTCCTAAAATTGAGCATCATACCAGAATTGATATCACTAATCAGGCTTGCCTCTTAAAATGAATTTGAAACAAGAATCTGAACCTGATCAGATGTTGCCAGTATTAGTACTGATCCTATGCAGCTCGTATCAGGGTTAAGGGTTGCCCTAACAGCTGGTGAAAGTGTTGTCTCTTAATCATGCTTGAGGTAAAATTGAGCATCATACCAGAGTTGATATCACTAATCAGACTTGCCTCTTAAAATGAATTTGAAACAAGAATCTGAACCTGATCAGATGTTGCCAGTATTAGCACTGATCCTATGCAGCTCGTATCAGGGTTAAGGGTTAGGGTTGTTCTATCTAAACATTGCCACTGTGAGTGGCAATGAGATGACAGGGATAGAACTTTCAGATTTTTGTGGACTGCAACTCTCAGAATTCTCCAGTAATTGCCCCTTACAGAGGTCTGGGAGATGCAGCCAAAAGACTGCAGTTTACAGAGCATCTTATTTGAGAGGCATCCTCTATACATCCTGATGGACAGCAATATCCCATGAAACCTTGTGACTTCCATGGAGGTTGGACAGTTTCCTTCTTCTTGCAAGGAGCATCATGGCAACAGATGCCCATGTTTCACTAATTGCTGGGTAAAATGCAGCTTTTCGTCTGCAACGTCCCAGAATTCTGCCTATGGAAATTCTTGATGAATTCTGGGAGCTGCAGTCCAAAAAAATCAGAAAGTGGCAGTCCTGTGAGGTAAGTGGCTGTGCAACCCCCTAAAGAGTGTGTGGCCGTAGTTAAGAGATTTACGTATGTTGTAATGGAAGTGTTTAAAAGCTCTAATGGAATTAGCCTTTTCCCTTTTTGCTCCGCATTGCAGACTGCATGCTTGAAATTACTTTTCATTTCTAAGCATTCATCTGTAATTCATGTGTTCTTTTAGGATGCTATCGTAATACATGAAGTTTACGAAGAAGGGGCAGCTGCTAGAGATGGTCGACTTTGGGCCGGTGACCAAATTCTTGAGGTAAGATCCTTAATTCGTTTTTTTGGAATATTTATGGTATGCAAATAAAGATGACAGACTTTTTAGAAAAGATATCAAATGGGAATATTTAGTATTTAATAGGACTGTACTAAAGTTGAGTTAAGAATGTCCATGAAATAATTGATTTACTTCTGGAAATAACAGGAATAGAAAATATGAATCTTAGCTACTTTTGCCTCCACTTAAGATAAAGTTGTAGCCTTCATACATCTTATTTTAAGCACTTAAAAATATTTTCAAAACCACAAAAAAGTATATATTAATTTAAAAAACCAAATCTGTTACCTTCTGTAATTTACTTTCAAAATACCAGCTGTGTTCACCCAAACCACTCAGTGAGGTTTGCTGATTTTCTTGTGTTTCTTTGGCTGAGGCTGTTAGATGAGAAAAAAGTTAAGGAAAGAGTTCATGTTTGATTTCTGCTTAGTAAAGGAGCAGAAAATCACTTCCAAATTTACTTTCAAAATATCAGCTGTGTTCACCCAAACCACTCAGTGAGGTTTGCTGTTTTTCTTGTGTTTCTTTGGCTGAGGCTGTTAGATGAGAAAAAAGTTAAGGAAAGAGTTCATGTTTGATTTCTGCTTAGTAAAGGAGCAGAAAATCACTTTGGTTACAGAGGGGCTGGAAACATCTCACTGTCAAGTCAGCACCAATTCCCAGCGCACCTATTATGGCTTCCAAGGGAGGTTAGGAAAACACTGAGGACAGCTTGAGAATGTCTTGTAGCAGCTCTTTCACAGAATGGTTCTTATTTTAGCTGATGTTTCTATGCTTTTTTAAACAAACAACTGTGCATTTTGGTAACATGTAAACACCTATTATGGCTTCCATGTAGGGAGGTTAGGAAAACACTGAGGACAGCTTGAGAATGTCTTGTAGCAGCTCTTTCACAGAATGGTTCTTATTTTAGCTGCTGTTTCTATGCTTTTTTTAAACAAACAACTGTGCATTTTGGTAACATGTAATTAAAATGTGATGGACATAGAAGCAGATCAATTCTTCATGGATCGTACAGAACGCATGTTTGCTTGGGATGGTGATTAGGCACACTGGAAATGACCATTGTAGAATACTACATTTCAAAAGCTTCATTAAATAATCTTGTCAGAAGCAGTAGGATTGTGAGTCCATAGGGCCGAATGTGTATAAAAAGGTAAAGGTACCCCTTGACAATTTTTGTCCAGTCGTGTCCGACTCTAGGGGGCGGCGCTCATCCCGCTCTTCAAGCCATAGAGCCAGCGTTTTGTCCGAAGACAATCTTTCTGTGGTCACATGGCCAGTGTGATTTAGACACGGAATGCTGTTTACCTTCCCACCGAGGTGGTCCCTATTTATCTACTCGCATTTGCATGCTTTCGAACCACTAGGTTGGCGGGAGCTGGGACAAGCGACGGGTGCTCATTCCGTTGCGTGGATTCGATCTTACGACTGCCGGATCTTCTGACCCTGCATCACAGGCTTCTGCGGTTTAGCCCACAGCGCCACCACATCCCTCCGAATGTGTATATGTTCACACAAATAAAATGTGTGTATGTTCACACAAATAAACACACAATTGGCAGGGTGGAGTTGGGGAATCACTGACGTTTTCTGTAGGTATCATAGACAGAGATTGTATGACTTGGACTGCCGGATCTTCTGACCCTGCATCACAGGCTTCTGCGGTTTAGCCCACAGCGCCACCACATCCCTCCGAATGTGTATATGTTCACACAAATAAACACACAACTGGCAGGGTGGAGTTGGGGAATCACCGATGTTTTCTGTAGGTATCATAGACAGAGATTGTATGACTTGCACCTTTTCTCAGGGAATGAGCCATGCAAGCAAGACATTTTGCAGCACGATGCACAGCATATAATGGTTCCTTTATCTGACGTCCTATCCCCACCCACCCCCAGCAGTAACTGTACAAGCATAATACATTTTAAAACTGTTATTATACTTTCATTATACCCTGAGATCATTGCTCCACTCTTTTATAGGCAACCCTGTCCTTTCTCTTCTCTACAGTTTAGGGTGTCATGTATTCACATGCACAGCTCTGTGTCCATATTTGCCATGAACATGTTGGCGTCTTCAAGCAATGGGTTCTGTACCTTTCTGAACTGCAGATAGCAAGATCATGATGTTGGCTAGAATGACTTGAGCTGTTCTGCTTTAGTGCTCAAGAAATAGTTCAGCAAGTCTCCTCTCCACTCTCACCCTTATTTTTTTAGGCAGAGATATTCTGGGAATATTATGGAGCCCAAAGGATCATAAATCTGAATCCTGAGCACAGTGATCTTAATTAGTTTCATACAGTTGCTTGGCTTTGATTGATATGCTTCCCATATTTACTGACAGAACTCAAAACATTACTTTTTCAGACTACCATACAATATTTTTGGAGATTTAGTTTTTTTCCCCAAGTTCTACCTACCTATCTAGAATGGGGTCCTAAGCCCCACAGAAGGACATGGCCAGAATGCAAGAACTGGAATCTTAGTCATTACTCTTATTTGTAAATTAAGATTTAGGAACTGGTAACTCCTTCAATCCAAATTTCTTTCCTAATGAGCTTTTCTAGGTAGAAGATTGAGATGAACAGGAGTAGATTGGGTATTAACTCACTGATCTACAGGTGATTCTGTTTTTGAATACTATAATGACTAATGGGAGCAAGTTACCTTTCACAACTAACTTTACAAAGCTCCATGTTCCTGAGCCTCAGATTGTTCTCAAAGCAGTCACATCAAGAAAGAGTACATGTAGACTTCAACTTCACCATAAGAAAGAATTTCCCCTTAACTCTGTATCCAAAGAAACATGGTAGGAATCATAGAAGTGCAGAGTTGGGAGGAATTTTAAGGGTTATCTAATGTAGTCCTCTGCCAGGACATGACAACCACAGCTAGAGCATCCCTGAATGTGGCAGCTGCAGATCAAGTAATAGTGATGCAAGCTTCAGAAAAGATTCAACAGGGGAAAATGTTGTAAGGTATCTACCCTCTATTCTGTTGAAATCAATAGAATCAGAGACCTGGAGTGAAACAGAGGGATCAGAGAGCTGGAAAATAATTGCCATCATTCAAGATGAAATTCTGGGGCCGCCAACAAACAGGCACCTTCAAGTGCAGAAATGTTGTGGAAGATGCTGTGCATTTGTAGCATGCCAGGGTCAATGTGCACAATACATATACCACACAATGCAAATTGTTTCACCAGCTGAGTAGCAACAGAAGCAGTACAGAGCCTGTCAACTGGATACCTTTCCCACATTTGTATTTGGTTCTGCAATATTCACCAGAATACTAGCAGTTCTGCGGAACTGCTAAATTTGAACCTAATGTGGAACCTTTAAAGGGAAATGAAATGGTGTGGTGTTTTTGTTTTTTATTTACAATGATACATTCTCTGAAAAGTGGTTTGTGTGAAGTGGTTAGTACCAATATTGAACCTGAATTCTCCAGGAATTAGAGTACAATGCACATTTCAGGGTTTTGTATTTCAACCAAACCAGATTTTTATTAGGTCAGAGACATTATGCAAGCCATGTCCTGGCTGTGTTTATGAAACCATAATGTTTTAACTACAATATTTATTTGAAGAGGAATTTAAAGCTGGAGTAGTGGTCTTGTGTGCCATCTGTTGGAATCTAGAAAAATAATTCTCTTTCCATTCAAATTACATAATTGTTTAAATGTTGAAAAAAAGAATACTGGTTAGAAATTACAGTCCAAGTAAACAGAAATCCACAAGCACTTATATATATGAGGAAATGAGTTTTGGTTGCAACCCTATATATATATATATATAGGGTTGCAACCAAAACTCATTTCCTCAAAAATATATATATTGCCTATATATCTTTTGCCTCAGAATAAGCTGCAATGAAGTCAGTGGCTCTTACAGCTGAACAAATATATGTAGGATTATACTCTAAGGCTGTGGTCAAACCAGCCAAATGTTCCCCAGTTATCCCCCAATTATATTGGAGCATAAATTTCCGGTCACACAATGAACAACCATCAGTGAATCATTTTACCAGCCAGCAGTGTAACTGAGGAACATTTCGGCCATCAGTGAATCATTTTACCAGCCAACAGTGTAACTAAGGAACATTTCCCCCTCACCTAGAGGCCTCTATTTTTTTTTCTTCCACTGGTGTTTTGATATATCTCTTAGCGGTACAAAATGTGTGTAACCCTATCAATATATCTTCAAGGCAAATTCACCGGGGAAGGGGGCCACCATTAATGCCTCATGGCTGCCCTTCTATATATTATTTTATTTTATTTTTCTGTAGCTAGAGTATCAATGCATTAATAAACCTCTGTCAAAAGGCTTGAAGCACAAGCACTCCACCTACTGTCTGGCAAGCAGCACACTGCCTGTGGGAGGTGCTGGGTTCCAGAGGTTAATGTGCAACAGAGTTGAATTCCGCCCATCAGGAAATACCCTATATATCAATGTATTGTTTAAAAAAAATAAAAAGAAATGTTGAGGGGCTTCAGTACCCTATAAAACAAGAGATGAAACAAATTGATACTGTGGTGTAGATGGCCATAACAACTGAAATGGAAGGGAAAGAACCAGTAACATTAAAACACATTGGGACACTCACCCAGATATACATCTCATGTGACCACGAAGCACAACAAGAAAGGGATAAAAAGCCTCGTTACCAGAGGGGGAACCTTTGCCTGAGTCGTTCAAATTGTGCTAGATCTTGAGTTTAAAACATTAGCCTGGGTTACTGGTATGAGAAACTTTTAAGCATCTATATAATCAAGCTATTTCATCACAATCTAAACATTTTGAAACATCTATATTTTCATGAGACACTAAGGCTGCAACTAAATGGTCGAATAGCATAGGATTTGCTTCCTTTATAAAATGGGTGAATGCGAAGTATTTTTTACTCATCACTTGATGCAAAAGCTGGTTCAAATCAGTCCAGCTTTTTTTTTGCTCCCCAAACAGTTTTCTTTTCCTCCACCACTGGAGAGCTTCTACTTTTTCAAGCTGAAACAATTTGAATGGGCTTTCCCCCATATGGTTAGTTGTGAATAGAGATGGGCGCATTTGTATTCGTATTGCGGAGGCTTCCTATCGCTCTGTTCTCTGCAATGGATTAGCCACTCTCCAACCTAGCAGAGAGGCTTGTCATCCTGCCTCCTGCCAGGACTGGGTAATCGATTGTGGACAACGGTGCGATAGGAAGGGTCCACGGAGCTGGCAGCAGTGGCAAAATCATGAGTGGACAGTCCGGCCCCTGATTATTCCCATCTATGCAGGGATATTTCATATTCATATACAAATACAAATACTCCCATCTCTAGTTGTGAAACATTTTTGAAAATGTGGGAGTCATGTCTACAAATTGTGTTTTGGTGATGTAGGTCGTTGGGGTGTGATGTTCAGGATCAGGGAACATGCCCCTGCATTCTTTCATCTCCCGCAATTATCCTCTTTATTTGCTATATTTTTTAAAAAAATTCTTATAAATATGAGATAAGTGCTAAATCACCCTATTGCATTATTGCTGGATCATCATTATTGTGGCCCATATTTACACCCTTGTCAGTTCCCCATCAGATTGGTAGAGGCAGAACCAGAGGAAGGAAGGAAAGAAGAGGGGCTGACTGCATGAGCACGAACTATGATTTCAGATGTAATACAGGCTGTGAATCAAATTGCAGCAAAGCTGAATTGCCCTGATTCAGCTTTCCAGTATTGTCGTATCATAAGAGCAGATAGCAAACACATTTATATTCTTTAATTTGAAGAAATGTTTCAGACAAAGTAACAAACACAAAGGTGACCAACATGCTGCAGGATGTTAGTGTAGCAGAACATCTAGTCTATTCTAGCCTAAAACTGTTGTTATTGTTATCTGCCATCAAGTCAGTCCAGACTTATGCTGACTCTCTGAATGTGCAATCTCCAAAATGTGCTGTTCCTAACAGCCCCACTCAGCTCTTGTGGACTCAAGCCTATGGCTTCCTTTAGGGAGTCAGTCCATCTTATATTTGGTCTTCCTCTTTTCCTGCTGCCTTCCACCTTTCCCAGCATTATTGTCTTTTCAACATAAAAAACAATGGATCATATTAATCAGTAAACAGGAAGAGCTGACTAGCAAATCATGGATTGGTTCAAACATAATGCTGAACCATAATTTAAGGCTGCAAGAGAAAACCTAAACAGTTGTCAGACTTATGTCCTCTCCATCCTCCTGCTTCCCTATTGCCACAAGCTCATGTTTTGAATCATTTACTTCTGTTTTCTTTTAACTTGTCTCTTGTTATCATCTGAGAGGTTCTGGATGATTTTAACTAGTGGAAACAACCAATATTGTAAACTGTCATTACTGAGTCACATTTGTTTCTATTAGCCATATTTTAAATTAACCAGAGTTTAGGTTCTGGGTAGCATGCACTAGGGTTTATTTAAAACACAGATGAAAGCTCCCAATGCCACAGCTGTACCAGCTAAAAAGGCCAATGTGGGGACAATAAAGTTTTAAGATAATTGCAGCTCATCCTATATTTGAATTATTTAATTGAATGGAGGTTAGAGAATTCTTCAATGTGATTTACAACATTTCTCAGCTACATTATTTTGAAAATGAATCATCATGAATTTATGAGAGTTGAGATTGAGGATGAAAGTTTATGCAGCTGTGATCTTTCCTAATCTATATGACTTGTTTAACAATGAGCATGTTGATTAATTTCAATGTATTAATTGATTAATCTAATTAAAATCCAGTAAAAAATCAAAACTATGGGTATAATACATTGTTTCATTGTAGGTTAATGGCATAGACTTGAGGAATGCTAGTCATGAAGATGCTATCACAGCCTTGAGACAGACTCCTCAGAAGGTGCAACTGGTTGTATATAGAGATGAAACTCATTATAAAGATGAAGAAAATTTGGAGATTTTCCATGTAAACCTACAAAGAAAAATGGGCAGAGGTTTAGGGCTAAGCATTGTTGGGAAACGGTAAGGATTGGTTGGTTGGTTGGTTGGTTATTCATTTGGTTATTTGTTTATTTTCATCCTGCCTTTCTCCTTAAAAAGGACCCAGTGCAGCTTACATCATTAAGAAGACAATATTTAAAAGTTAAAACAATAAATATATGAATATTTTAAAAGAATTATACAAGTATTGTATTAAAGACGGTAAATAAAATCAGTACTAAGACACATTTAATACAACAGAGCACAATAGTCCATTTAAAAAAAAACACACACACACTTTGTCATTTCTCTGTTGAGAATTCTGTTGTAGTAGAAATTGAAAAGATCACTATAGAGCAGTAGCAGCCCTTATAACATCAGTACAGTTTGTCCTAACTTTGAGACAAATGTTGCGCCCTCAATCCTTTGCCCTGTTTGCGAGAGGTGAATTTGTAGAAAGCATTAGCCAATTCGGGGCTCAGGGAGTTTGCAAATTGATGTAGTTCATCGGGAGACTGTCTGTTTATCATAATACTTTGTATAAGTTCAGTAACTGTCCTCTCTGTGTAGGCAACAGTTTTCCTATTCTGTTTCCCAGCGTGGCAGATAGTAGCAGTTTCCTGTGTCCGCCTTCCTTGCCTTTTTAGAGGAGTATAATATGTGCTAGTCAGAGGTCAGCAGTCATCCAATTCTGCATATGAACATCATTTTCTGGGAGCCTGAATTAGAAGCTAGTTACTAGGTAGTTGCAACACAATATATTGTTTTTCTCAGTGGAAGCAAGAAGCCCCAGTGGCTCCTGATCGCAATCTATGACTCTTGCTGACATACACAGAGAAAGGGAGAGAGAGAAAGCAATTGCCACTTGCTGTGCTACATAAAGCGGTGAAGTAAATACAAGAACATTTTGCTGCTTGAATCCTCCCAGTACTCTCACTTTTCCTTTTCCTTGGCTGTAGAGTTTTCGTCTTTCTCTTCTGCACATTGGAATCAATAATAAAATAAGGCAGGACCTGTGAGGACAGTGATCAGTGAGCTGCACTCTGACCTCTGGTTCACAGTAATGAATTTATTTGGACTCAAACTGCTACTGACATGCCAGCTTTATTCAGATGTTCAGGAAGGCACAGAAGACAAAAGAGCAGTCATGAGTGTATATTTATATCTTTCTTTAGTATTAGATTTAGATCCCTTTCCCTCAAAATGGGAAGCTTAGCAAGGTAAACAAGCAAACAAACAAACTGTTTAGAATTTAATCCAAGATTGACCATCGCTATATGTTTAAAATTTCCTGCCATTTCACTGCCTTTAAAAAATAAAATAAAATTAGCCAGTGGAATATCTTGTGCAGTTGTTTTGTGCATGACAAATAGCTGAATGCCTCTGTCCTTGCAGTTTTTACATGCAAATTCCATTTAGCAAATAGACTGGGTAGTGCGGTAACCCGTGTGCTTCTTGCGTTGTTAGAAATGGAAATGGAGTATTCATCTCTGACATTGTCAAAGGAGGGGCTGCTGATCTGGATGGGACACTAATTCAAGGGGATCAGATCTTGTCCGTTAATGGAGAGAATGTAAGGCATGCTTCCCAAGAGGAGGTTGCCACCATTCTGAAGGTGAGTATACTCTATAGTCTTGCGGTTGCAAGTGTACTGCAATCTAAGCATATAATGCTGCTCTTTGCAGAGCGCAGAGATGACCTACAGTTATCTATTGTCATTTGAACTTGATCTGTATGATCCTGCTTGGCCTTACATTAGCCAACTTAGCCAACTCTAAAAACTTCTTCAAAAAACCTTCAATGCCACTCAGTAAGAGCAGTGAGGTTGCCTGCTTGGTAATGACTCCCTCCTGGATGGCTTATGTTCGGCCCCTTGTGCACATATTTAAACTGGTCATGGAAGCTTATTTCTTCAAATTTCCTTTTTCTCAGGGTATAGTTCATCAAGGGTTTGTATGATTCAAGGCAGGTTTCTTGTACGGCTTCCTAATGTTTCAAATGCATGCTTGTATCATTCTCATTTATATTTCTTATTTGGAGTACAACACTGAAAAATAATATCTAAACACATTGAAATAAAGTCCTGTATTTTCAGTTGAATGCAGTGTTGTTGAAGATTACTTGGCAACAAAATCAATAAATAAGCCATGAGCTTGGTCTTGGCCCAGGAAATCTCTTTTTCTGAATATTTAATTTGTTATAAAATAGTTGTGGGCTTCTCAAAATTGTGGTTTTATGTGGGTGCAAGTCTGGAGGAATGAAGACTTTCTTTTAGGATTCAAATGACGTGTGGTTTGTATTTTGCCGTATCCTAAGTGTGCTCAAGGTCTTGTGCAGCTAGAGATTGGACGACTGAGAGCTGGATCTTGGGCATCTTCACAGAAAACATCTCAAAACAGTCAGGTTAGTGACAACTGATGGTGCATTTATACAAAATGTAAAATGAGTGATATGAAAAATTAGCTGGTGATTTCTTAGGTCTAAAACCAATTGTGAGCTCCAATTTGAGTCAATAAGGACTTGATAAATCCACACTTAGTATAAGCTGCATTGATTGAATGGGTCTATTTTCTGATTAGGATTAACTTCTGGATTTAGACTTACTAAATGAAGGGAAGGATCATAATATACTCTGACTTTAGAAACCAACCTAGCAATCACGATTTTCTCTAAAGTCAAAGAACATTTACAGACAGAGGGCCTAGGAATCGAGGAGTCACATGTGCCCATTCCTGAACTTTGGAGGACCTCACCCCACTCTGGTGACCACTGCCCCCCAAAATTTCTTTTTATAAATAATTATTTTCTTACTAGAAAAGCTCTCTTGTGCCCTCTAGTGGCCACAGTTTTAAAAATAAAATTGCCTCCCTCAAAAATAGTGAAATTCGTCCCGTGCCCCCTAGAAAACAGAAAGGATTTTTTTTTTTGAGACATTTTTAAATGGTTTTGCAGGGGTGAGGGGTTGTGTGTGTGCGTATGTAACCCTCATCACTTCCCAGTAAAGTAAGCCTCAGGAGGCTACAGCCATAGGTTACTCCTGCTGCCTTAATGGATTTTCCATGTTAAAAAAGAATGGGAGAAGCCACGGAAAATCAAGATATTACAAGTAGAGCATGTCATTGTCTGAACCATCACCATAAGACTGAATGACAAAGGTAGTATATGAAAAAAAAAGTATCACCTGGAATCACTCACATAAATGTTTAGTACAGGTATTTATTCCTCCAAGATCCGGTTGGTATCATTAGCCATCTGTGTGCCCTTTTGATGAAGGCATCCAGGTTCCAAACAATTTTTTCTTCAACCAAGCATCTCGTTTGGCTCAGATGTGTCTTATTTTTCCCCATTTCACCCTGCTGGTCTCATGGGTACTGGGAAGCACAGAACCATTTTAATGAATTCACCATGCACCCTGAGGAACACTAATTGAAGTTCTGCAGAAATTTCATGAGCACTCTGTGACTTGGGGAAAAGCTAAGGTTTAACTGGAGAAGGAATGGTTCTTTTTCCAGACACCATCCTAGCACAGCTACAGTTTGGCAGCCAGCCTCCAGATATAGATGTATGAAATGCACTTACCATTGAGAGCGCATAGAAGTTCTAGCCTATCAAAGCATTTCTTGGGGTTTGGAGGAAAAGGGAAGAGGGTTGTTCAATGATTTAATATTTGATTTAATATTAAATTGTGTATTGTTTCCATCCATGTTTCCTCTTTGAACCTGTTTTAAATGTAGATATTTTGGGGGTCTCTCTCTCTCTCTCTCTCTCTCTCTCTCTCATACACACATATCTGCCTGCAAAATAATTTTGCACTTCTGTTTTTACTAGTGTCAATAGTTTTCTAGGAATAATCTAATAACACATAATACATCCAGTACTGTCCCAAGGACAGTATGTTTGAATCAATTAGAGATACCACTGATAGGTAATGAGCAAAATAAGCTAAATTTTTTTCTCGTTTGGATTATTGTGCATGCATCTGTCTTTGAAAACTTTAACTGCTACAAATAAGTGTTTGTTTCTCTCTTGAGTGTTATTGTTTTTACCTCTGATTTTCAGATAAGCCAGAGAAATGCTCATAGTCACCTTCACCCTACATTTGCTCCAGTCATTTCCACTCTACAGAATTTTGTTAGCAATAAGAGGTCATCTGCTGATTCGTCTCACAGAAATTCAGGTATAGAATAGAACTCGTATTCTGCAAATTATATAGATAACTCAGTGCAATCTTCATGTGTTGGGTCATAAAACTCAAAACCAACCAAACAAGAGTACACCAACTAAATCAAAGGGATATACTTAAGTGTTGACTTAAGGATTTCTCTTAACTCAGTGAATTGTTGATGTTTACTTCGGACAAACAATTTAGCCTAAAGTGTTTTCCTCAGTTTTTACATGAATTTCAGCAATTGTTTGAACTTGTCCTATTGCAAATGTTAGTATCTTACTGAATGGGATATTTTCTGCTCATCAGGTTTTTATCTTCAAATGAGATGTTAAGGTCTCACACAGTCACTAAAGTTTAACAAAATTTCCAGCAACCTGCACTAAGTGGGAATGTCCCGTTGCTACCATCCATTTTAATCCATCTAACTGTCTAGAACTGCCAGAATCCAGTAGTCCCTTGGCTCTCACAGAACAAAACCAACATGCTTGCTAATTTAAGTGGAGATGTGCATACTTAAATGCACCCCAGTTCATCATCTCCACATTTAACAAGTGAAATAGCATGAGGAATAGTCAAGTCACATCTTTGGGAGGGAGCTGACATAAACAATCACTTTGCTCAGTGATAGTTTCAAAACGGCAACCAGGGATTGTAGTTTCCTGATGGCATTACGTCTTAATTACTGAAACTAATTGGGTTTCTTTTTTAATTAGTTGGAGCAGACATGAGCCCGAGGACTGTGGAAATAACAAGGGTCAGTGAGTTCTTTTTCCTCACTTTCTAAAATTGTTCTTATTTAGAGCAAAAGGTATCTGCTGTTCAGATTTTTCTTCTTAGCTGTATCATTGCAGCCTCTTTGTATGAATAGCAGGTCCTTTAGCAGGTCCTCCAAAAGATACTTTGCCTGCTACTCTGAGGTTATCTTCTGTTGTACACAGTTCTGCTATTAATGTGTATGTGGAAAATCACGTTCTATTATGTTTAATAAGTTTGTGTGTTCTGTGCTGTCATATTTTATCTGGTTTTGGTAACCCTGATAAAGTTTCCAATGTAGGTGAGATGTTTAAGGAGTGGTTTTACCACTGCCACCTCTCAGTGAGTTTCCATGACCAAACAGGGATTCAAAACCACACCTGAGTTCTAGTTTGTTACTCTTTCCACTACGTCACACTAGTTCTCTTAATAACGTTAGCAATATGTAAATATTATTTACATGCAAAGAGACCAGTGACAGATTGTACGGTCTTTTTCTCTTGTGCAAATTACCAAAGTTTTCACATGGCATGGATTTTCTTTGCATTTTGTTGTTGCTGAAACAGGATTAAATAGGAGTGATGGAATGCTTGAAGAGACAGAATTATGCATGGGCAGTGAGATTTTATACCATGGGAATAAGTGGGTTTATATTTATAACAAGAAAGGTGGATTTGTGTCCTCCTAATGTTGGAGGACTACAGGTCCCATTGTTCCTTACCATTGTGTATGCTGGCTAAGGCTAAAACAACTTTTAGAGGGCCTTATGCTACCCATTCCTGATCTAGTACAAAGCTTACATGTGGTGCATGTAATGTGACAGATTTTTGAAAGACGGGAACACCAATGATTACAATGTTGGTCTTTCTGTTAAGGGTCCAAATGACGCTCTTGGCATCAGTATAGCTGGTGGGAAGGGAAGCCCACTGGGAGACATTCCCATCTTCATTGCCATGATACAAGCCAGCGGGGTAGCAGCACGTACACATAAACTCAAGGTAAGTGGAAAGGACAACGTTATCTCCATAAACAGTGAGTTTGTTTTTCTGGTACTGGTTTTGTTCCCTTACTCTGAAGAGAATAATTCTGCTGCAAGAACTGTATTGTAAATTTATTGAGAGATTCTTCCACTCCCATTTGTAACTGCAAAGGCTGCTTCTTTCGATTCACAGAAGCATCTTTATAAAACTACTGTTGAGTGACTGCATTAACAGCAGTCACGGAAAATCATGTCTAAGGGCCTCCGATTGTGCTTCATAATTTGCCATCTCAGTAGAGAGAAGGGCCTGGAAGAATAAGAGGCATTTCAGAGAATGTATTTAAAATCTGGTTTAGTTGCCTTGCAGTGATAACTGAATATTTGATACCTAAATCAATTTAAGCTTACATCTGCAGATTCTTCAGAATCATGATTTTTTTAAAAAATCAAGCTATGTGGCCTCCTAGGAAATAATGTAAACATTTGACATGTTCTCAGTCTCAACACAATGTTCTGCAATTCAGTCTGGGAAGCATTCATTGGGATGATGTAAACTATGATCTAGGACATCCACAGGTTCAGCTTTAGCTGGAGGACCAGTGCTTCTTTTCATATATTTTCCAGCAATAACACCATGTGCCCTCATAACCGTCATTTATGAGTGCCAGCAGCTATTTCTGAGAGCAGTCAGCTTCATCATTCCTATGAATGCTCTGGGTGTTTGGTGTAGCAAGATCCTGAATGTCTCAGCAGTTCCTAAACATTTTGCAATATGGTTCCAGAAACAAAAATATAAAACCAAATATTTATATCCTCTTTCTTGTAATCCCTAATGCTGTGAATGTCTTAGGTCAATGTTCTGCTTCCTTCCCATGAATTTTTCATTCTGGAATGTTGAGGTAATTTGTGTGAATAACATCTAAAATGTCTGAACTGGCTTCTAGATTTAGTGCTTATAATATGGTTAAAAAAGAAGAGTAAATTACAGGGGGAAAATCTGTAACCCCTGTAAACCAACTCTATGTGTTGGTTTAGAGCAGAAAAACAGGGAGCAATATAGCTGTTTTTATGTTAGAAAAACAGAGGAGCAAATATACTTAACAAGAATGTCATTGGCCAAGCTGTTACTGTAAATATGCTTGCATTTATAGTATCTTAGAAACAAAAACAAAACTTTTTCTATGTCCACTTGACTTAAATATTCATTCACTCTACGCTTGCATTTATCGTATCTTGGAAACAAAAACAAAACTTTTTCTGTGTCCACTTGACTTAAATATTCATTCACTCAGCCTCAACAACAGAAACTTGTAGAGTGGCAGTCTTACTGATATGCATAAATACTGTATGGGTTTTTAAAAGATAACATTTATGATTTCTGGAGATCACTTGTTTACCCCTGTAATGATGCCATCAAGTCACCCTCAACTTATGCTGACCCCATAAATGAGCAATCTCCAAAATCACTTGACTTAAATATTCATTCACTCAGCCTCAACAACAGAAACTTGTAGAGTGGCAGTCTTACTGATATGCATAAATACTGTATGGGTTTTTAAAAGATAACATTTATGATTTCTGGAGATCACTTGTTTACCCCTGTAATGATGCCATCAAGTCACCCTCAACTTATGCTGACCCCATAAATGAGCAATCTCCAAAATGACCTGTCCTTAAAGATAACTTTTATGATTTCTGGAGATCACTTGTTTGCCCCTGTATTGGTGTTGTTATGTGCCATCAGGTCACCCTCGACTTACGCTGAGCCCATAAATGAGCAATCTCCAAAATGACCTGTCCTGAGCTGCCCTGCTCAGCTCTTGCAAACTCAACCCTGTAGCTTCCTTTAGGGAGTTAATCCACCTCATATTTGGTCTTCCTCTTTTCCTTCTGCCTTCTACCTTTCCCAGCATTGTCTTTTCCAGAGAATCCCATCTTCTCATGATGTCCCAAAGTGGGACAGCCTCATTTTCAGCACTTTAGCCTCCATTTTTTAAAAATTGAGCAAATTCTTTACTAGGAAGTATTATAGGGTCCTAGATCAGTTACCATCTTCTCGTGATGTCCCAAAGTAGGACAGCCTCAGTTTCAGCACTTTAGCCTCCATTTTTAAAAAATTGAGCAAATTCTTTATTAGGAAGTATTATAGGGTCCTAGATCAGTTTGATTTGACCTAGGACTCTATAATACTTTCTAGTAAAGAATTTGCTTCTGTTTTTTAAAAAAGTTCTTTGCACATGCAATATGTGCTTTCCCCTATGAATAAACCTTACAAAAATATCTATATTATATGCATCATTTATATATAATCGCACTGTAAATTGCCACTGCAATCACTCAGATAGTCATGCACAATGTGTAGTGCAGAGAGTGTTTGTGGACAAGGTTGTACTAAAGATCCATCTGCCTTTCAGCTAAGTCTGCACAATGTTTGGGCTTGCTATAAGGTCTTTATTGTGGGCCTTCTTCTCTACATGTCTGTGGGAGTGTTGTTGTGCCTCCTACATTGGTGTGGAGAAGAAGGCCCACTGTATCTGGAGAAGAAGGTTCTCTAGACCATATGTGGCAAAAAAGAGAGAGTATATGTAATTTGATTACAACTTATTTGGCCTTCAAATAGCTATCTTATTATAAAATTGATATATGTTGACCTTGTATGTTATCTAATTTTCATAAGATAAGATAAACAGAAGAAATTAAGTGCATTAATGATCATATGTAATCATATCTAGAGATGGGGGTTTTCATACGCAAATACAAATATCCCCGCACAGCTGGACTTAATGAGGTTCTGGCCCTGGGGCTGGACCGTCCGCTCACATGTCCCATAGCGGCAGTGGCCCCGCTCATCTTTCCAATCGCTCCCAGAGCGCCACTCTCTTCCTGTTCAGCTGGCCACTCAGCAGCCATACAGGGAGACTCATCCTCCCTCCCCCTGCCTGGAGTGGCTAGCCAAGTGGGAATTGAGCAGCGCTCTGGGAGCGATTGGAAGGATGAGCAGGGCCGCCACTGCTGCCAGACATGTGAGTGGACCCTCATTAAGTCCAGCTGCGTAGTTATATTTGTATTCATACATGAATATGAATGCCCCCATTCTAATCGTATCTAATATGAGCTATGGCCAGAATTCAGTGGAAGTGAGGGGCACAATCTATTGAAACACTAACCTGTGGTCAGAATTCACAGCAGAATTGGAGCATGTTGATAAGTACTGTTTCCTACCAAGTTCACTCCTGTGCTCTGCCCACTGTAGTCCCTCAGTCTATCCCCCAAAACCCTGTATTGGAGGATAAAGAAAGTCTCCAAAGGTAGTTTTCAGGTAGGCCACGAGGTAAATTCTATAACATCAGCATCTCTGGTGTTAAGTATGGTTTCTACCTATGTCATTGGCATCTGACATCACATGCTTTCTAGAAATCACTTTTTCCGCTTGTAATGCTTTCTTGTGAAATAATGTGCTTTCATTCACCTGTGCTTGCACTTCTATAAACATTTTCCACGTAGGATGAATTCTAGTATAGTTCTCCTTGTTTCTCATTTACTTGTTGGTGTGACTGTGTGTGTTGTACTTTTCTCCTGGAGTTTTTCCCATTGCTCAGATTAACTAACAAAATATATAATATATAGAGAGAGGAGTAGGAATAACAATAACTAAAACAGAATCAGCAAGCTAAAAGAAACACCAACAGCAAAAAAAGGTAAACAATCACAGAACTGATGACAAATAAGTTAAATCAAACTACAACTAAATGAAAAATTGCTTTAAAGGAAATGTTTTTAGTCACTATTGGAGCCCACAGACAGGCACAAAATTCTTGAGGGAGGGTCTTTCATATATAGGCCTCTGCCACAGAGAGCATTCTCTTAGATGTTGCCACACATGGGTGTAAGACTATGCTAGCTGATGTTAAAACAAGGGCAGAGTCAACTGAGGTTGGCCCTTCACCTACGTCCAAGCTGTGCAGAGCTTTAAAAATTATAACCAAACTTCATATTGCATTCAGGAACAAACTGGTAGCCCAAGCAGCTGATACAATAAAAAGATAGACTGTCCCAGGATTTTTGGCCTACTCAAGATGTTGATGGCAGCATTCTCTTCCCACCAAGTTTTCGGAGTTTCAGGAGCAGCCCCACTTAGAGCACATTACAGCAACAACATCTAGCTTATGTATGTCAGGCCAAGTTCAGGTCTGAATGTGCTCAAATGGCACACCAGCTAAACTGGAGCAGAAGCATCCGTGACTCTTTGCCTGTGGTAGATTGACTGCTCCTTCTAGGAAGTGTTTTTCTGTACTGTGAAGAACACTCAGAGATCAGGTGAAATACAGAAGATCTATATTCTCTTTCTGTGCATTGTGGTTGTGCAATGACAAAGATGGAATAAATGTTGATCACTTCCAATTTTCCTTAATGCTGGCAATTTTTCTGTTACTATTGTGCCTTTCCCACCCCCCACCCCCGTTTCCTCTTTAGGTTGGAGATCGGATTGTCAGTATTAATGGACATCCGTTGGATGGACTGTCTCATGCTGATGCAGTTAATCTACTGAAGAATGCTTTTGGGAATATTGTCCTGCAGGTATGATGATAAATCGAACATGCAGCTGCACAAAGATAGATAAATTGCGTTTTTAAAGGAAAGACTGCGCATCCTTGGCACAAGGCATCCCAGTGCTGCAGGGTGCTTTCTGATCTGAATTACAAAAGATGAAAGCAGGAAATTATTTCATTTGGTGCTTTATTCTTGCCTATACAGACTATGAGCATGAGTCTTTAAAACCATAACAAAAGGGAGAAACGATTTCTTTCTGCACATGACAAATCATCAGTGCTTTTAGATTCTGTCACTTTTGAAACAAAAAACAATTCCCTTTCTTTTCTACATAGCTTTGACTGAACAGTCTATCACATTAACCTTCTCAGTCCATAAAAAATGAGGGCAAGAGAAATGACATTGCTGGTTTTATAGACTTATGTAGAGCTGGTTATCATCAAAGTTGCAGTGCCTTGATTGTACAGTTGACCTATTGCCTCAGTTTGGGCAGATGAAAGGAAGGATGTGCAATTGATTGAGATTTATCTTTTATTTCCATTCATAATTTTTAGGGCATTTATTTTATTAGATGATGTAAAGATAATGTTAACAGCTTAACTGAAAAGAATTAGCATGATTCTCATGCAGTCTCATCTTCCTTAGAGGGTTATAATGACCATTGTACTAAGCTTTTGGAAGGCAATGAGTGGGGTGAAAATGAAAAAAAAAATACTCTAGTACTTTTAAGTCATTTACTTTCAGTAGGAGATATGTAGATGTACTTAATTCCCATCTATTCAGAACTAGTGGGGTTTAAAAGTACTTAGGTATACTACTGCATTGTACTTGATATATTCAAGGTAGAAGTTGGGGTTCACTTAGATAAATCAAGCGAATTGATTGAAATTGCAGGCAGCAAACAGGTGGCAAATCTGAGCCTTTATCTGACAAGCTATATAGATAATGATTTTTGCAGGAATGATATTTTGCAACGTCACACAGTGAATTTTATGACTTAGGATTTCCCAAGTCCAGGTTCAGCACCCTAACCAGTACACCACATTAGCTCTCTTGGAATATGTTCTCTAGTGGGTATACAGTTGATTTCCCTCTTGGTGCAGATTACCTATGGGCCAGAGTGCATGTATGTGCCAGTATAAATATATCACTAGAAGTACTCCTGGTGCATTCATATGATAGCATCAGGATTACTTTCTGCACTGTGATTTAATCAATGTACACATATACTTGTGCCTGGCGGTAATTTTTTGCAGCAGCTGAAAGCCTCAGTGAAAGAGAATTCATAACAATTTCAACAAATCCCCAAAAGAAAAAAAGAATGAAGGCAGAAAACTAATGGGTTGTTGCGGGTCTACAAAAATAATAGCAGGATTCAGAACCTCAAGTTGAAGGAAAAATTGAATCAGAGGAAATTTGTAGCTATCCTTAGTGAGCCCCTGTCTGAGTGTTTTCTTTCCTTCCTCCTCCTCATTAGCTTTACCATTGCAATGAATTTTAAATTAAATTAAATTTGCTTTCTGGCAAGATATTCAGGTACTGGCTCCTGGAACCTGTTACTCTGTCACTCTTAGGCTGTGAGTGCACTACCTAAGTAGCCTTGGTTCAAAAAGCTCCAAGGTTTGCAGAAGTACAGGTACATAAGGGGGTGGGGAACCCTAAGAATGCACCTCACCCCAAATTAGCCAATTGAGACTGAATAGCTATCAAACAGAGAGTAACAGCTGAGCACATAAAACAGAATATGGAGCGGAGAATTAAATCAGATGGAGCTCTGGGAAAGATGCTTTTCAGGATAGAATTCCTCTTCTTGTTTGTTCTACTTTGTATTTTGTTTCTACCTTATTGGGTGTCAATGATTACAACCCCATTCTTTTCCTTCTTCTTACTGACTGCCTAGGCTGATGCCTTCCAGTATGAACAGTAACACAACGTAAACATTTTTCATTAAATTGTGCATTGCTGCTGCCTCAGTTCATTTGCATGGGAGTCAGCAGAGAGAGAAAATGAAATTGGCAATCCACCTTTTTTCAGCTTGTTGAGATAGCTCTGTTGTGGCTATACGGATTTGCAAGAGGCATGGCTGCATCAGGGCTAGCTTTGTAGGCTCCAAAGAGCTACCTTAACATGCTGCCAATTAGCAAGAGGCACCTTAACAAACTGCAAAGATCTAACTTAGCCAACGGTCAATTAGCAATTTCCTTCTCATTTTCTGCTAAATCCTCAGTCTTTTCCTTCTATCTTTTGATCTCCAGCTATGCCCTAGCTAGCACATCACTGCTTGCACTAAGCCTTGTTGAATGGTTTGGAGATGAAAGGTGCTCAGTTGAGGGGAGCTGACACCCCTATGAGTCCCCCCTTTCCTTCTTCTCTCCTCACCTTGAACTAGGAAGCTGCACAAGCCAGCTTTCGTTACAGATTGCAATGAGGTAGGGACTCAGGGTTGATTTCTCATTGTATATTGTGTAGTCAGTGGAGAATAATACAAATCAGATTGTCCCAATCTCACATTTTTTGTCAGTAGTTAAATGGCTGGCTTCTGTAAGAGTCTGTAGAAAATAACATTGACATTAGCTGAAGACTGATCTTATCACTGCTGCCAGGAAAAGGTATCTTGTTTATGCCTGTATTCTTCCCTGCACAGAACACAAGCAGAAATATTTTAGGATGGCAAGCAATCAAATTTTGCTAGTGTGCCAAATACAAAATACATGCTCAAGGCATGCTCTATTGTAATAACACTTCCAGACAAGCAGATTGCCAAATATTCATGTTTTAAAAGGCTATGTCTTCTTGCAATATGGTTCTTTTTGAACAGTAATTGGCTTATAAAAATAAAAATTTTTCTCCTCACACATTTTAATTTCTTGTTACAAATTATTAATCCACTTTAAAGATATTTGTTACATACAAAATAAATAGATTGAGGGAAATGATATCAGTCGTTATATACACCCCTGTATCAGTATCCAGATATAGCAGCAGGAATAAGTGATAGATAGGAAATAGCTATATTTCATTTTGAGCAACTGTACTTTTCATCTCTCCAATGATGAATGCACACAATAAAGGCGAGCTCATTCCATCAATCTGATAATTGTGAGTGACACATCATTAAGTAATTCTGTTATCACTTAAACCACCTCATAGTAACTGGCCATGAAAGGTCAGATAATTGTATCCACTGGTGTGGAAAGGCTTATTGTCAATATATCCTGGGCAGGATGGCAAAAGGGTTTGTTAATGCTGTTTGCAAATGGGAGATTAAGATCCCAGGGGAGCACTTCATCTCTCCTGGCTGTTTGGATGCTGCCATTTAATTTAATCTTCTGTCTGCAGGTGTAGTAATGAGATAAGGAAAAGCATTTTGAAAGCTTGTTGAACTTCAGTGGTGCCAACTGCAGATTGGCAAATACAGATATACCCTCCTGCCAGGTGGTTGTGTTGTTCTTTAAGTTAGGAAACCTGAACAGTTTTGCTGTTCTTCCATTTTAATAGATAGCATCTTTTTTTTTTCATTCTGACATATGAATAATGCTGAAGGGAAAGCCTATCAGTATTACTTGTTGTTTAACAAAAACACTGTTATAAAATCAAGACCATCATATTTAGTTAAAATCTCTGCTCTCCATGCCTAATTAAACTTATGACTTTATAAAGTAGTGCATTGAGGTATAAGGGATCAATCTGGAAACATAGTGCTGGGTTTTTGACTCATTCATAACTGAGCCAACTTCTGGCACAGGCTGTTCAGCCAGGAAAGACATGTTTTGGCTTGGGCCCTACTCAGTCATACAGAATCTGAGTGAACTAGCCGTGCTCCCTCCTCACCTTGTTCAAGTAAAACAACAGATGTGAAATGGGGGAGACTCCTCCATCTGTGAAGCCACTCTGCAGAACGTGAGAAATCAAGACTGTAGCTCACATGCAGAGTAGGTTCACAGCCTGACTAAACTCTTGTCTTCAGACTGATGTGCAAAGCTATTGTGGAAGGGGTGGGGCTAATTCACTGTCTCTTCACTTGTTTAGCCCACCCAGATTAGGGCTCAATTTACCAATAGTGCTCAGTTTACCAGTGAAATACAGCTCAATTTAGTCAACATATTTGTTAGGAGAGAAGACTTTCCAGTTCGTTCAGTATTAGAGATGGGCAGGCTTCACCTGGTTCATGTCAACTTAGCTAACAAATGAGGCAACCTGTTACCTCAGAATTGTTGAACAGTTCAAACAATAGACAGATCCATTCAAATTTGGGGGGGGGGGGGAGCTCTGCAGCCAGACAATAAAGCAACATACTGTTGATTTAGTCTCCATAGTCACCAGAGGAGAGATGCTGTTTTGAACAACTCCCACAAGGAAATTTGGGCTCTGCTGGAAAAACCTGAGGTGAAGAGGATCCTGAACATATGGTTGTTTTATCTGAAAAGATCACAAATAGAGTGAGCATTCCTCACATGCTCCATTATTTCTTGAACCATGGAGGAATGGGCCAAGATGTAGAATTTAGGAGCTCATAGTGCTCTCCTCTCTTTTGAGACAAGCCTTATCAGTCCTCTGAAGTTCATTTCTACATCTAAGACTATGAAAAAAAAACTAGTGAAATATTCTAGCCTCTCTAGTTTCTTTTCTATCCCACATCAATGGTTATATATGAATAAGCTCATGAGTGGGGATCAAATCCACGCTGAAAGTGTGGCCAGTTAAAATAATGTAATTGCAAAGAAGGATTCATTAGCATTGACAAACTATATTTTCAGTAATTTCCTCCTCCACATCTTTCTCAAGACTACCCAGGTTTCTGTTGTGCCTGTTCTTTTCTCTGCACATTTTCAGACAGGAGTGCAAAATGATACAAGGGCTCTCAATTATGGCTAAAAATGTTGATTTCTAATGGTATTGATCTGTGGTTCTGATGACTAGGCAACAATATAGTGCTTTTTTGCATTGATTTTCAAGGGAATCATTAAGGTGAAGGTTAGCGAACCTTGATTTTTCCCCTTTGCACTTGCAGTATATACTGTAGGTTGCACTCTTTTGAACTCTTGGGAATTTACTCCTAAATAAACATGTTCTGTATCATGGTCCTGAGCCATTGATTTTCACCATCTTTTGAAAAGCTGGGCAAAATATCTAGTAGGCTCCTATCTAAGCAGAGGTTCAAGAACATACGGGCTACATGCAGCCCTTGTACTGCTGAGGCCCCTAGTGCCCCTGCACTCTAATTTTTTTAAGTTCCCTTGTGCCCCCTAGGATATGTAGAGAGTAGTTTTGCTACTTTTGAAGGGGTCCTCGAGCACGCCTAGGTCCCTACCCCTATTTAAATTGTTTTAAAATATTGGCTGTGAGAGTGTGCAAGGGGATTTCAGTGAAAGTCACTGTATTTAAGGAGAGAGAGAGAGAGAGAAACAGTTGGATGGGGATTACAGGCATAGATGTGGCCCTCCATGGACCAGAGATGGGTATAAATAGTTCCTGAATCTTTGTAGGTTGTCTGCCACTGGTCTGGATGCTTGCACTGTCTGTGCCCACTTAGCTTTTACAAATCAGCAGGATTTGGAGCTTCTGTAGTTTGTGCTTGCTTGCTAACAATGCAGAAATGCTGCTTGTTAATATCCTAGATAATATGTGAGGGTTATTTTCATACTTTTTCTGACTTCCAGGTGGTTGCTGACACCAATATCAGTGCCATAGCCAGCCAGCTGGAAAGTATGACTGCTGGCACAAATTTTAGCCCTCATACTGAACACCATCCTACAGACCCAGAGTAAGTATGTATGCTGTCTTGGTGCTTTAGATACTCTAGCAGAGGCAAAATATTGCCCAATAACAGTTGAAAATGCAAACAACACCCTTCACTGGAACTGTCATCAATTTTAACAACTCTTCACTTTGAGCATATTTTATCCCTTGTTTTCTGAGCCAAAAAAAGTTGTTGACATGTAAGTAATTTGACCATTGGAGTTTCTGCTTTTAAAAGGTAAAGGTAAAGGTTCCCCTTGACAATTTATCCAGTTGTGTCCAACTCTAGGGAGTGGTGTTCATCCCCGTTTCTGAGCCATGGAGCTAGTGTTTTGTCCATAGACAGTTTCTGTGGTCACGTGGCCAGCATGACTAGCCACGGAATGCTGTTACCTTCCCACCAAGGTGGTACCTATTTATCTACTCACATTTTTACATGCTTTTGAACTGCTAGGCTGGCAGGAGCTGGGACAAGTGATGGGAGCTCACTCTGTCATGTGGATTCAAACTGCTGATCTTTTGACCTTGCAGCCCAGAGGCTTTTTGCAGTATAGCCCACAGTGCCACCACATCTACTTCTCCCTAAATGTATCTCCCAAAGAATTGTCAAAAATCATATTTAGTTATTTCAGGCGGATTGCAGGTATGAAGAGGCAGTTAATGTTATGAAACATACTTGGAACTTGGAAACTCTACTTTGGGTGAACTGCCACTCCCAGTGGCCAAGTTGGCAGTGAAATTTTGGGAATTATACCCCAACAAAGAAACTTTTAAAATTTCTGGGCATGTTGGTGCTTCTGTGCTGATTTTGGTACAGTGGCATTTTGAAATAAAAAATGTGTTGCCTAATACTTTTTTTCTCCTTATGCTGTCTATAATGCTGGAGATGCAAAGAAGCTGAAATTCATCCTTTTTTTTTACATTATAAAAAGACTGAAACCCATCCATTAAGTTATTTACTGAACTTTTTCTTTCATGGCAGAAGCAATTCAGTGGTGCTTTAAATTGGAAAGATTACCCAATAAGGTTCTGTGGTTGGCTAGGGGATGCCCAAATATCTTTGCTGTCGTCACATTCTTCAGAGAGGCTCCTTCCATGCCCCCTGTTTAATGGACTGTGCATATGCTTTCCACTTCAGTAGAATAAAAAGATTTGTCTTTTTTACTATACAGTATTGTGAAAAAGATTTACTATATTGTCATGCATAATTCATTCAACTTGAGAACCACCTTCCAATACGGATTAAGTTCTTAAGTAGAGACCCCACTGTATTGTCATGCATAATTCAGATGACTGAAACATATTCACCAGATTTTCTTTGTAACACAGTCATATAAAGACCCATAGCATGCACACACTATTCCTTCTTACCTAAGTGTATTGTGTCTCTGATGTGGTGTCCTTTACTGCAGCTCCTTGTGGCACATTTATGTTTTAAACGCTGTCAGTCATTCATTGAGTCTGCATAAACATGGCTCTATGCAGAATTTTATTTTTCAAATAAGATCTCACTTTTTTAAAAAGTTTTCTAAATTTTGTTGATGGGACAGATATGGAAAATGTGCCGGGGCAACCCTGACAACATTTCAGAAGAGAGAGAGAAAGGAAGAAGTCAGTAGGATTTTCTGTTTTCTGGAGATGAAACTGAAGTGTCCTTGCCTAGCTGCTGGTCCAACATGTTTAACAGGGTAGTCAAGATCAGGATAGAATGAGCGATTAATAAAACTGAGGACCTTTTTTCAATCTAGGGTTTAAATATTCCTGTCTTTTTTAGTGCCACATTTTGGAAGCTTGGTAAACAGGGGTCATTGTTGGGTTTTAATTTAGATTTCTTTCCCCCACTTGGTGATAAAATATCCTGGATAACTGTGAGGAAATATGGTTTTCTAGATACATGCCAGTTTTCTTTTTTTCCTGAATGAGGACTGGGTATGTTGTCATTATCCCCATCCCATGCTCCTCTTTTGCCCACTTCTCTGCCATCTGTTTATAGCTTTCTTATTCTCTATTTCAGGATATGATGGAGAGCTTGGAAAAAATTACTTTTTTGGACTACTGGAATCCTTCCACTAACATAGCTAGCTGGAGGATTCTGGGAATTGTAGTTTTAAAAAAGTAATGCTTCAAGTTTTGGGATAATGTAACTGTTTCTCTTTTCCACAGTTAATCTTCAGTAGACCTGCTTATAGCACAAAGCCTGTTGATGTGAATCTTCCAGGCTGCTGGAATACTTTTTTCATTGTTGTTTTTTATTCTTTTGATTGATTTGTGACAGCCAGTCCTCATGAGTTTTCCGTGCTGATGTGTTGTCATGTTGACTCTGCTCCTGCTTGACTGTTTTTTCACTTGAGATGAGTTATGACAACTGCAATTCTAGATGATCTGCCCATAGGGAAATTAAATAATGGATGACATTCAGCATTGTTCCCAAGAAGGTTTAAAGATACTCTTGCTCTAATAGTTGCTCTTTTGTTTTGTTTTTAACTCCCCCCCCCTTTGATTCATGAATCAAAGTACAGAACATGCAATATTATAAAACCATTCACCAAAACTGATGCTCCATGAATCTATTCCCCTGAATAATAGCATATATATGTTTCATAATAATGCCGGGTAATTTCTTATCAAATACTTACGTGTCTTGATGAAAGCATTTCAGTTTAGAAACTTGACATTTTATCTAATTCCTTAAGGGATAAGACCACATTTTTCATGTTTTCTCTGAGATGCAGAGCTTCAAGATCAGCAGTTTTCAAAGCTCCTGTCCATATTGCTTATTGAGACAGGAAATGGTAATCCATTCTGGTTGTGTTTATCTCAAAAAAATAATCAGATTTTTTTTCTGCTGTCAGTTCAGCTTTGGCTTTTGAGACTACAGTAGCAAAAGTCTTGGAGGACTCCCTCTCCCAGCTCCCGTCTTGTTTTGAAGTTGGAATTCTTTTGTGATCTGTGCCACATCCACACAATACCTACTTAATGCTAGGGTTGGCAAGCAGCCGCCCATGGTCCACATGTGGCCTTACAGAGCCACCATAATTTTAAAACAATATTTGTGTTTCTGCTCAAGCCAGAAATGGAAACTGCAGCTCCCAAAATACTTCACCGTTGGCTTTGTTACCTTGGGTTAATGGGAACTGGGAGTCAACCAGTTTCTGAAGGACCAGAAATGCCTTACCCCTTTTGAAAGTAGGGTCCTAAGTCTTAATTATTTTGGAAAAGAAATTGTTGAAGGAAATGAGTCTGTGTATATACTCTTGCTATGAACATGTTTTGTAAGTTTTCTTTCTCTTATGCAAGTTTTCTTATGCTATGAGCTGTTGCACATAACAGAAGACTTCTCCTGGTTTGGAGGTTTCATTAATAGGAAAAGTTCTCCTAGCTGCTTTCTGTGGGTGATAAAGGCGTAGAATCACCAAAGGGGAAAAATACTGACAGCTCTATTACAGACCCTCACAGTCAATCCATAAGGAGGTCTAGTAGCATACTGTACGTGCTTAGAATTTAAGGCTTTAGAATCTCCAGATGAAAGGATGTCAGAGATCCCTCCTGGCGAAGAAGTCTGCCTGGTATCCTGGAGAGCTCCTGTAAGTCAGATTAGTCAGAACTGTCCTAGAAGAATCATGGCCTGTGGTGCGCATGGCACAGCTGCCTTTCCACTTAATAAACAAGAACTACTGTAAGTGGAATTCACCGTGTTTTTCAGAGCACCTCAGCCTAAGGTAATTGTGTTGGAGAAAGGCTCAGATGGACTGGGATTTAGTATTGTCGGAGGCTATGGCAGTCCCCACGGAGATCTCCCTATTTATGTCAAGACCATTTTTGCAAAGGTAATTTTAAAAAAAAGAATCTAAATACATATGCAACTGCTCTAAAATGCATTTGTAATGGCTATGATCATTCTACTATCACACTTTTAAATAGTAACAGGTCTGTGCTGGAAACCCTATTCATGGGTTCTGGATGTGCTATAATTTAGTAGACCGATGGGGCTGCACATGCTGATCATGATACCAGTGTCCCCCAGGCACCTAGCTTTGCCCCTCCATACCCCAATACATCTGCACTGAATGTAGAGATCTGAGCAAAAGGTCTACTCATGTATAGTTGAGTGTGAGTAGCACACTCTGCGTAATTTAAGACCCAGACAATGGTCAACTCTATAATGGGATCAGTGTGCCCAAGCCTATTCCTTTCCCTCCTTACAGCTCTCATGCATTCTTTGGAATACATAGACAAGATGAGAGTGTCTGTATTCCATGGTCTTTAGAAAGTTTGAATTCCATGGCTTGCTGCCGTTTCCCTGAAGTCTTGTAATGAATTCTTTATATTGTCACTCATTTTGGGACAAAGATTTCTGGAGAGAAGGCCAGTGTCCTTTCAAAAGCATCACTCTGATAGTTGTAATATTCATTGTGTGTTTGTAGTTGATATGTCAATTTTAATTTTTTTAAAGAGCAGCTGTAGAGGAAGCTGATGGGACTGCAGTTTCTAATGGCATATTGTTCCTTTGAATTTTTGAAAGTAGATATGTTAATTGCAGTCATGAAATCAATTTCAGGTCTGGCAAGCCCTTGTATTAATTGGGGAGGGCAGGAAGGAAGAATTAGTTCCTATTTTTAACAATCATGTGTAGCCAGCTGTTCCAAGATATTCAAAAGTTGGACAAATGGTGGCATGCCAAAAACATTATTAAGCTGGGGCTTATTTGGTTTTGACAGTGTTTGGTTCAGATAGGAAAAAGATCAGAGCCTCTCTCCACTCCTTCCTCAACATCATAGAAGAAACCTTTGATGCTTTGGCCACCACAAATAGGCCAGTAATAATGGAGTGTCCGAGTTCAGAAGAGTATGGAAGACCATCTCTTCTTCTTTCTTTGTTTAATAAAGTCCCATCAAATGGCACAGCTTCTGTTGTGCTGTTTCCCTCATTGTTACCCCCTCTTTTTTTCCCCCAGGGAGCAGCTGCAGATGATGGCAGACTGAAGCGTGGTGATCAGATTTTAGCTGTTAATGGAGAAAATCTGGAAGGCGTGACTCACGAGCAAGCTGTAACTATACTGAAGCGCCAAAAAGGGACTGTAACATTAACAGTGCTGTCATGAGCTTTCTGCAAATGCAGTTTGGGCTGGGTGCAATTATTTCTGATCATTGCTAGAGCTGCTACACAACAGTACACCATATACAGTCTGATGTGAGATGAAAATTTAACTCCAGCTAAGATTAGCACACATTAATCATGTTGCCTGCCTGGTTACATCCACTGTAGGCATTCATTTTGTCTAGTCATTGAAACTTTTAGTGAAATCATTAACACCATCCCATTTTCCTTGAACATACTTCCTATTTCCTGCTTTTGCCCATAACTATCATCTATTATTAGGAAAATGTAATCACTGAAACTTGAATTAGCATACACACCGGAAAGAATAAAGCTTATTGTTGCATCCCATCTAATGAATAGAAAATAAATGCTGAACAACTTTTCATCTCATTCATCATTTGCTTATGTTAATTCTCTTTCCAACTGTGCCAGAAAACATTAAATGTAATTCAATTACCTCTGTTTCAAATGATGAAATGTCAAACTCGCCTATGGGAAATTAATTGTATATGAAATTCAGATGACGAGACATCAGTCTCCCATGTCTAATCTCTCTGTTTTGACTATGTAAGTTAGGGGTAATTATGATGAGTCAATTCTTAGCCTCTTCTAGTGCACATCAATCCTGTTTAAGATGGCGGAAAGTCTGTCCCAAGTGGTAGAAATTGCTTATCCAATGTAAAGCTTAACTCCATGGAGGCAGAAGAAACTACCTTTATTTGGTATAGGGCTACTCATTGCTTATAATGATAATACTGTAGTGAAAAGTCAAGGAAGTCTGGTGGGCCAAGGATACCTCATGATCAGTTGTGCAGTTCAGTGTCTCATCTATGAACAAAATGAAGATTCTTTGTCTAAAAGCCTGCAGCGCCCATAGAATGTATATTTGCTAAATAATACAACTAGAAAGCAATAACGTTCATCTTAATTCATCTTGATTGTGCAGAATAAAGTAAATATGCTAAATTGATCAAAGGTGAAGAAGTGGTAGTTTAAAAAAAAAGTAATTTGTCTCGTTACATATGTTGTCTTATGTTTTGTGTGCTGTGTTTGGATCTAGCTAATCACAAAGTGCATTAAGCTACCGGAATACATTGTATGTATTCCATGAATAGTGCCTGAAAGTAGAATTAAAAGTCTTTTCAAAGGATTCCTTATCATGACTTCATGTTCAGGTTATATTTACCTGAGATGCAGGGAAAATGTCCTGAGATGTCTTTTAACAGTGGAGGTAATTTGATGCTGAAGCTGTACTGCACACCCATACTGAACTTGAAAAGGCGGCTTATGTTAAACTACATTAAGGATTGTGACCAAAATGTAATTATTGTTCTGTTTAGCCATGACCAGAAATGTATAATCCAAATGGCTGTGATGATTCTTTTAAATTTGAGGCAAAGAATTTATCCTTTTACGCACCTTTTTTTCTTATGCAATGAATGTAGAGCTTATGTACCGAGATCCTTTGCACTTCTTGAAGCTCAGATTAGAGAGCACATGATGGCTTCTTGCAATTTGCACTCTGTGTCACATATTGTAACTGCAAAAAAATGCACTACTGCTCGCAAATGAACTAACTGGTGACAGGGAGAAAGTGCTATGTCATGGATCAAAGGCACAATCTGGTTGGGAAATTTTTTTCCTGCTTTGAGCCCAATGAAATAAAAGGGAACTATATTAGATTGTGGGAAGGTTGCCACCGGAAAATGACCCGTTGGATTGTGCCCTGGTTCTACAATTAAGTCTGCATTTTGCTTTTAGGGTGGGGTGGGAATTGAGTTAATTCAATAATACTGCTGTATTCAGTCAATGGACATTGGAAAGGCAGCAGAACATATTGTATGTTTATGTATATCCGTAAGTTAAGATGTTTTATGACTTCCAAAGATTCTAAATAAAATTCACTTGCCTAAGTATGATGGTATACTCAAGAATTCACATTACAGTCATCCATCAAGCCCTACATGTTCATGGAAGGCTAAGACTGGGGTTGGCAACCCTTTTTCTGTTGAGGGCCACATTCTTTTTTTGTGGGTGAGCTGATTTATTGGGGGCTGCTGGCTTATAATAGGTACAGCTGATGCTAGTGACAGATTGGCCCATAGCCAAAAGTAGACAAACCAGTTTCTCTCTCTTTCTCTACATATATTGTCTCTTTCCCTGTCTTTTACATCTTTGTGTAACAAGCTACAGAGAAGGGACAGATTGCACTGAGAGAAAGCTAGATGGATCATTTTCAGAAAACTGGAGAGTATTCTGAGGATCATGTGAAATAAGGAATACAGGCTGTCCAATTCCATGTTACCGGACACACCAGTCACAAAACTCGGAAAGATTATTTTCAAAGAAAAACAGAAGATCATTGATTTTACTCAGATGCAACTGGAGACCAATGCCATCTAGTGACTAAGCTAAACTATATCAGTTTATAAAGTTATATGGACAATAACTTTCAGTTTATAATGTTATATAGACAGTAACTTTCAGAAAAGGACCAGATCTATTATATTTGCTCTTAAAAGCATCCTAAGCTCCTGTTACATAATCTTCATTAGACAAATCATTTGGAGCTTGAACCTAATGGATGTTCTTCTAATACCTGCTAAACACATTCAGTATTAATATTAGAAGCCTTAATGGTGTAAGTTAAATGGGCAAATGTATCAATACATATTTGATGTGATAGGTGGCATGTGTGTGATGCTGCATGAGGAATTGTCCTGGTCCAAAAGCACAAATCTGCACATATCTGGTGACTAGGGAGTGGATACTTACCTGTGGGTTAATCAGCACTTTAGTCTACTTGGAAAATACTTCTTCTTTCCAAAGAAGGTTAAGAAGGTCTTGGGTGTTCTCACAATGTCTGTGAGCCATCATGCAGTATATGGGAGGGTGTCAAGAGGAGGTTGTCATAGGTGATGGCTAATATTTCTACATACACAACCTATAAATCCTGTCAAATAGTACTTTACATATTTTGGCAAGAATGGAGAAGAGTGTAATTTTTAAAAAAATGAATTTAAAGGAGTAAATTGTTCAAAATCACATTGGATTAGTTAGGTTAGATTGGTGGCATCATCCCACGTGAAAAGAGGGAAGATGTTTTTTTCTGTTTCTAATATGTATGTTAATGGCCGTGCTTTCATTAGGGCAAATAGAGTGTGGCCCCAACTGAACGTTGGACAATCCCATGCCTTCTGATTTCTGCCTGCTTTCTTATCAAAGGCAGAGGGCCTCTGTGTGGTGTTGGGGTGATAGGGGGTAAGCACACAGCTGCACAGGAACAGCTCTTTGAAACTCAGAATGATTACCTGAGCATACTTCCCTCTCTGTAAAGGAATCACATCCACACGTCTTTCTAAGAACATAAGAAAGCCTGTGTTTATTAGAGGTGTACACGTCTGATAGAAAAGGTGATTGGAGTCATAAACTGGAGATATCAAACTCTCTAGGGAACAAAGGCAAAATGCCTCTTTGTTGAAGGGACAAGAGAAAAGCATGAGAAAAAAGGAAGTGACATATGCAACCCTGAGATTAGCAATCTAAACTGGAAAGAAGGTCAACACAGGTAAAGGACATGGGCGGGTCCTCTTTCTACTCTTCCCCCTCTAAAGACCTAAATCTCCTAGCATGTAAGTTGAGTTGCACCCACTCACTCCCAGCTCTGTGTTATGAGTATATGTTTCCCTGTATGTGAATGGATGTGAGAATGCCACTGTGTAATTGAACCCACTTTGGTCTTTGGCTGTGCCCACCATTGGTTCTCTGTCTTCCACACCATTAATCACACTGGGCTCTAGCCACCACTAATATGTGTGTGGGTGAGAGGAAGAGAGAAAATCAGCTTTTTCTATGTGTGTGATGGAGAACACATAGATCATAGCCACTGGCCCCATCATCTCCTGGCAAATAGAAGAGGAAGATATGGGGACAGTGATAGATTTTACTTTCTAGGGTTTCATGATCACTGCAGATGGTGACAGCAGCCACAAAATTAAAAGACGCCTGCTTCTTGGGAGGAAAGCAATGACAAAGCTTTGGTGTTGTTGTTGTTTAGTTGTTAAGTCATGTCAGACTCTTTGTGACCTCATGGACCAGAGCACGCCAGGCCCTCCTGTCTTCCACTGCCTCCCAGAGTTGGGTCAAATTCATGTTGGTAGCTTCAGTGACACTGTCCAAGCATCTTGTCATCTGTCATCCCCTTCTCCTCTTGCCTTCACAATTTCCCAACATCAGGGTCTTTTCTTTTTTGAACATTTTTTTATTTAAGCATACATGTACAAAACCCCTAACATCCAACAACTACAACAAAAATACAAAAATAAAAAACCCATAAACAAACCCTCCCCCCTTTAAGGACAGACATTCCAGCCTCATTTGGATCTCAGATTTCTCCAGTAGGTTTCTGGTGAGCTTTGAAAAAAATAACATGCAAAGTTTTTTCCCTAAGCTTCTGTCTTTTTCTGGGCCCAAACATATATCAACTTCCAGCTTTATTTTACATAGTCTCTTGGTTGTTCTCGTAGTGCTTCTAAAAGTGTGTCTAATTCTGCAGTGTCCAACAACTTCTTTAGAAACTCCTCCATCATAGGTATTTCTTCACTTTTCCATTTTTGGGGGCCCAGAGTAACTTAGCAGCTGTGAGTACATACATTAAACATTTTATTTTCTTATCAATAGTTTCTGGCATAATATTCAGTAGTGCTATTTCAGGTTTAAAGTTCAATTTTTGCTGAATAATTAATTTTATTGTTTCCCACACCTGTGTCCAATATCTCTTGACTTTTTCACATGTCCACTACATATGAAAATAAGGTCCTGCATTTTTTTACACTTCCAACAAAGATTGATGTTACCCTCTGATATTTTTGCCAACCTTACAGGGGTATAATGCATTCTATAGAACAATTTGAAAATATTTTCTCTTAAATTAACTGGCTTAAACGTATTATGACACTCTTTCCACATCAGTGTCCAGTCATCAATGTCAACATTGTGTCCAAAGTTACTTGCCAATTTTACCATCACCTCCTTCACCCTCTCGTCCTCCAAGTCATACTCCAATAGGTATATATACATTTTTAATTATTTTCTCATCAATATAGATCCACAGTTTATCCACCTGGACTTCACCCTCAAAGAAGCCCACAATTTTATCTTTTTTATATCTCGTTTCTAGTTTGTTAATTGGCCACCATCACATCACATCACATTGCCAACAAAGGTCCGCATAGTCAAAACGATGGCTTTTCCAGTAGTGATGTATGGAAGTGAGAGCTGGACCATAAAGAAGGCTGATAGCTGAAGAATTGATGCTTTTGAATTGTGGTGCTGGTGGAGGCTCTTGAGAGTCCCCTGGACTGCAAAGAGAACAAACCTATCCATTCTGAAGGAAATCAACCCTGAGTGCTCACTGGAAGGACAGATCCTGAAGCTGAGGCCTCAATACTTTGGCCATCTCATGAGAAGAGAAATCTCTCTGGAAAAGACCCTGATGTTGGGAAAGTATGAAGGCAAGAGGAGAAGGGGATGGCAGAGCACAAGTGTCATCAAAGCTACTAACATGATTTTGACCCAACCCCAGGAAGCAGTGGAAGACAGGAGGGCCTGGTGTGCTCTGGTCCATTGGGTCACAAAGAGTCGGATATGGCTTAATGACTAAACAATGAAAAGAACTATGTGGTCAGAGATAACTTAGTTTTTTTTATGTTGAACTTCAGACCATTTTTGTGCTCTCCTCTTTCACCCTCATTAAGAGGTTCTTTAATTCCTCCTCACTTTCTGGCATTAGAGTGGTATCATCTGCATATCGGAG